CCATTCGCTATGAAAAACGTAGAGGAGTAGAGGAAGAGCTCAGGAAGCTGGAGGAAGCCAACATTATATCTCCAGTTATTTTAAGCACAGCGAATGGGCAGCACCCATAGTGCCAGAGGTGAAAAGAGACAAGTCACTCCACCTGTGTGGGGATTATAAAGTGTCAGCTAATTAAGCAGTTGAAACAGAAACCTACCCCTTGCCACGTTTAGAGGAATTGTTAGCAACCCTTAGTGGAGGTAAGGTATTCTCCAAGATAGACTTAGCTACAGCTTACCAGCAGGTGTTGCTGGATGATGACTCCAAGAACTACACTACCATCAACACCCACAGAGGTTTATTTGTGTATAACAGACTTCCTTTTGGAATTAGCTCTGCACCGTCCATCTTCCAGCGGATTATGGAAAATCTAATGAAATGCTTACCAGTGGTAGTTTTTCTTGATGACCTGCTCATTATGGGACGCACAGAGAAGGAACATCTCCACAACCTTCAGAAGGTCCACAGCAAAGCACAGTCTTAGCACCATTGTACAGACTGCTCAGAGGACAAGTGATTTGGAAATGGACTGAGGTTGAACAGGTTGCTTTTGTCAAGTGTAAAGAACTGCTGACTAGTGACCGGGTGTTAGCCCAGTACGCAGTACGACCCCAGTCTCCCACTGACTTTAGCATGCAATGCCTCTGCTTATGGCATCGGAGCAGTTATGTCACGGCCTGGCCGTGCCTCCCTGGATTTTCCCGCTGTGCTCTGGTCGTTTCCCCCTTGGTTTCCTGGTCAATAAACCTTTACACCTTTACTCCCTGGTCTGTGCCTGCGTTTGGGTTCATATTCACACCCCGTGACAAGTTATCCAACACACCATGCCAGACGGGGAGGAACGACCCATTGCTTATGCCTCCCCAACACTGTCTCCAGCAGAGAAAAAATATTCTCAGATAGAGAAAGAAGCTCTTGGACTGATATATGGCGTAAATAAATTCCACCAGTATTTGTGGGGTAGACATTTTAACTTAATTACTGACGATCGACTCCTTCTGACACTGTTTGGTGAGCACAAGAACCTGCCTACACTGGCCGCAGCACGCATTCAGCGGTGGGCGATTATATTCTCAGCGTATGACTACCACATTGTCTATCGCAAATCAGAAGAGCACAGTAATGCTGATAGACTCTCCCGCTGTCCCTTGGCGGAGACCAGCGACACAGGAACAGCCGTGACTTCAGCTCTAGTCCACTCACTGCTGGCGGAGCATATACAAGAAGCACCACAACGCAACACAGGTTGCAAGGACGACACGCACCGACAGTGAGTTGTCACGAGTGTATAAGTATATCATGGAAGGCTGGCCCACTCAGGTAGAGGAAAACCTAAAGGTGTTTTTCACAAAAAGAAATGAGTTGTCTACAGAGCAAGGTTGTGTCCTATGGGGGACCAGAGTCATTGTACCCTCCAAGATAAGAAGAGCCGTGTTAAAAGAGATTCACTCTGGGCACCAAGGCATAGTGAAAACAAAGGCCTTAGCTCACAAATATGTATGGTGGACGAACCTTGACTTGGAAGTGGAACAGATTTGCAAGGAATGTGAGACATGCCAGTTGGATCAAAAGATGCCACGCCAGGTTCCACTACACCCCTGGGAGTTCCCGGGTGAGTCCTGGAAGAGACTACACATAGACTTTGCTGGACCGTTCCTGAACCACATGTTCATGGTTGTGGTGGATTCACATACAAAGTGGTTGGAAGTATTTCGTATGCGACAGATCACCAGGCTCAGGAGACTGTTTGCCTCTTATGGTCTGCCTGAACAAATTGTGAAAGACAATGCGACCACATTCACATCAGACGAGTTCCAGACTTTTGCCAAGCAGAATGGAATTCTGCACACCACAAGTGCACCAAGACATCTAACAACAAATGGTCTGGCAGAGAGATATGTTCAGACGTTCAAGGCAGGTATAAGGTATAAAAAATCTTGCTCACACTTTACTGAACATTGAGGACAAGGTCTCACTGTTCCTGCTGCAACATCGGACTACGCCTAACTGCACTACTGGACAGTCTCTGGCTGATCTGTTTCTTCACAGACATATCCGGACAAGGTTGGCTTTCCTAAAGCCTTGTACCAAGGAGACGGTATGTAAGAAACAGTATCACCAAAAAGAACACCATGACCGCACTGCTGCAGACCGTTTTTTTTAACTCTGCTGCACCTACTATTTAGACCCCAGTCTCACACACACTCACTGCCAGATCGTTCTCCGCATTCATGCCAGACCTTCTAGCGCTTACCCTCCGAAAGATTTCCCATTATCGACCCTGCCTGTTTGGACTTCTCCGCCTTGCCTCTGCCCCGATAAACCACTCAGCCTTCTGTCCCCGACCACGATATTCTGCCTCTGCTTCCTCTGAGTTCTGTCTGCCTTCTCCCTTGACGGCTTGGCGTTCCACCGTGTGGGATTCTACACCTGTGCATATCCTAGACTGTTACCTGTTGTGTGTTCAGTTGAGAATAAAGCTTTGATTCCAACTATTCAGGGTCCATATAAGACAAATACATAAAATGACATACAAGAACAATAAAAGTACATTGGCCTTTTATTCCAACTGCACCTGTCATACTGCTTCTCGGTCCTTACCACACCAGTTACACTGCACTGAACTCTGACACTCTAACGACACTTTTCAGCCTGAGGGGCGAGACACAAGACAAAGAAAGAACGTAATGACGGTATCATGAGGTTTGAGCATCTGGCTGACACTTACATCATTAGATTTATTCCCATACAGTATTGGGATGGTTCAAGAATGATTTTGAATTCAATGTGTGACTTTATATCCTTTATCAAAATATAATCCTGCAAGAATTATAGTGCTAAATGTATGCGTCAGCAAATTAAATAAGTAAACTAATAGTACAGTCACTGAGATCGGAAGAAAGGGGAGAAAGGGGATAAGTTTAAGAAGTAAATCAGTTAGTCAGAGAGACACCCTGTTCAATAGGGCCTATGTACTGGAGCATCCTGCGCCACACCGTGCAGGTCGTAAAATTGGTGAAGTATAGGAGATACTGTATCTGGGTAATAAAAGGCACATAGATTATGCGTTGTGTCCTTAAAACATAGAACACGGGAATATACGTATTTGTTTTCTAGGTCACAGAGAAGGGCCCACAGGCGGTCAGCAGCGTATGTCACAAGTTCCAATTACCCCCCCTTCCACAGAAAAGGAGGTTAACAGGGAATGTGTTTAACTTTAAAATAGGTCTGTCAGGAGTGATAATCACGACTGGTACTGTTTCGTTTAATGATTTGAAAAGGACCTATTGTCTATATATGGACATGAAGGATGCAGAAGACAAGGAGGAGAGGATAATAAAGAAGAGAGACGAGAGGAGTTCGAGGCTTTTTGGAGGACTTGCATGTTCTAGACATTTTGACATTTTGTATTCACTTTTAGAAACTTTTCCGATATTCAATTTTTGTAATTCGATATGTTACTCTTTGTGAAAACCATATAAAACCGGTTTGTATTTTGTGCATTCCGACCAAAAGTCCAGTGTTGCTCATCTCTGTTGGGGTTCCCGTAGTCTCCTAAAGGTAAGAGTGCTCTTCCCCTGGGATAGGCTGACAGAAGAATTTAGATTAGACATAGAATTGAAATGCTATTACTGTTAAAAACTAGAGATAAGATAAGTGTTGTTAAATATTGTTGTGAGTTACTAACTTGGTTGGCTCAGACCGATTTCATAGCTCTGTTATGAAAATTGATAATTGTTTTTGAATTTGTGTAGACTTAGAATTTTGATGAGAATTGATGTTGAAGCTCTGCTGATGTATCACATGTGATGTTGCAGTGTTGATGATCATGTTTAGACGCTAGCGGTTGTGTATTAATGAGGAATAGGGATTTAGATTGGTACTTAAGTTAGGGGTGTTAGGGCCAGGGTCCTGAAGCTGCCCTTAACAACCAAGCGAGGTTCCCAACCACACAGGGTTCCTCCTCCAGGAGTGGCCCATGAGAGCGGGTCCACCCTGGGGTACGTCCAGTCCTCCACCTATTGCACACACACACCTAAATCCGTTGATATCCGGCTGTCGGGGAGACCAACGTTTTTAGCCTGAAATAAGTGATACGACGGTGGCTAGTGGTATTTAGTTACACTGGTTTTTGTCCCTCTAAGCAGGCTAGGACAGTCTCGCGTGTAGATTTTGGGGGGTGCATTCGTTACCTAGGTAACAGAGGGTATTGAGGTTATTGAACAAGCCATCTCCCAGGGCTCCGTTCGGAGGTGGGAGGGGGTATTGGTTATGCAGCTAGGCTGTACACCTTTTCAGTTAAATTATTTTGTAAACAATTTATTGATATGATTATTTATTTCATAATGTCTTTGTAATTGACTTAATACCCTATTAAATATGTTTCCAGGTTTCAAAGGAAGGACACATTTGATAGATATCTAATCGCACCATTTGACATGACAAAATGACGCCATGAGAATATTACTAAAGAGACCAAGATGGAGTAGTGCCAGTGAAATGTTCGTGGCTGCAGAATTCAATACTTTTCAAAGAAATCTTATGTATAAATGTATTTGTCAGTATTTGTTAATGACTCTGAAAATGTCATCATCTTGGTTTTATCCAACATACGGTTTAGTAGCACACGCTACCAGTCCCAGCTGTGGAGACATTGGTACAGCTGTCTCTTTGTAAGGCATTGCTAGGCCTATGTACTTTTATTGTTCTTGTATGTCATTTTATGTATTTGTCTTATATGGACCCTGAGTTTGATTGATTGATTGATTGCCATCATGTAGGATTATTTGCACATATGCAAACCAATTGAAAAATCCCAGGACAGAAATCTCTGGCAACACAATGTCCTTATGTCCAGACACCACTGTCCATAACAAAGGGAAAGCAGAGACCAATGGTGATATACAGTTCATTTTTAAAAAGTCGACAAGATCGAGCAAGTTCATCCAGCTGTATCTCACCTTAGGAAGTTCTCCAAGTCGGTGCGGCTGCAAGAGGACCAGGACAGGTCACTGGGGTTTCTTCCTTTAACCCATTCACCAGACATGATGTGGGAGTGACCAGTGCAGGTGGCATGGTCGTCATCATGGCTCATTCCCATGCTAAAGACAAGACATGGATATACAGACACTGCGTCAAAGAGTAGTAAAGCTGGTTCTCAAACAAGGGAGTCAAAATGCCAACTTTTCAGTCCCTGTCTTTGTCGATATATTTTGGTCTATTTTGTGCATGCCTGTGTTTGTGCGTACATGAGTGGGTCTGTGACTTTAAGTGAGTGTGTACCTCTGTGTGTGTCCACAGCTAATTTCTCATTTTGCTGCAGCAAACTGCATCATATTCATTCAGGGTGCACACTGAAGAACCTCATGGTTGTAGTGACTCACACTTTCTCAAAACACCTTTCATTATCGGTTTTATACTGCTGTTTACTGCCTGGTGACTCCTCACTCACCACTCTTAACCACCCCGGCCAGTAGGGGCTGCTAGTAATAACACAGCTGAGTGCCCACGGGCCTCATGGGACCACGATCCAACCCTGCTCACGCCTGAGGCAGTGCTTGTTGTCACAGCAAACATCAGTCAGGGTACTGGTCCACTGACGGTTTGTGGACAAAACACACAGAAAACCAGTCCAGAAGTCAAAGCTCTCAAGACTGTATCCAAAGACAGCTCTTGTTATGCTTGAGTGAAACTCTCCAACTTTGAAAAAGGCAACTCCAACGTGTTCCTTCAGTCCACACTGCTCACATAGCCAAAGGTTTTCTGAGAGCTCTGCCCATCTGAACTGTGGATGTGGTGGAGATGGAACACGGTCTGTACTAAATTCCACATTGGACATGGTCTCGAACATGATCCACTGCTAGTGATGCACCAATACCAGTATCGGTATCAGAGCTAATAGTGAGCCTCAGTTGAGCCCCAAACAACGCCCAGCTGCAACAATAAACTGATGCACTAACTGGTTAAATCCATCAGAACAGACTTCTCTTCTCCAGCAGAGTTAAAAGCCACAATGTTGTGCCTGGTCATTAACATATGCAGCCACTTTAGTCTCCATCACATTAATAAGTTTAGCTGTGAGGTTGTCAGCTGTGTGTCTGCTAGGTAGACTCTGTCAGGGTTTCCACCGTATTGCAGCCCAACGTTACGTTAGCCAGTGTCCGGTCGAGAGAGAGATTGTGTGTGACGATGAGTATGACGTCAGCAGCAAAGTTACAGCTGTGAACGTAGCAGTTCAGTGTGTGTACAGTTTGTCGGTGAGTAAATGCTACAACTCCTCAAGTACCGTGAGGAGACCCAAGCTAAGTACCATGTGTCCCGTGTCAGCCAGCTGATGATTAAAGTGAAGTCTGTTATCCCGGAAGTTAGCAGCTGTTCCGGCGCACTTATGGTGAGCTGACCTGTAAGGTGGACCAGCGCCATTCTTCTTTATGTGACAAGCCGCTCCTCTAGGTTTGCTCAGTTTATAATTTCTAATATTAACTGTTTAATAACGGTTAACTGTTAATCCGATAGCACGGTTAAACATGGTACTCTGAATTAGCAAGTACTCAAATGTAAGTACTTTTGGTATCAGTGCCTCCCTAATCAGTGTGTCTTATATGTCAAAGTTGGTACAGATTTCCATTTGGTCGATAGATTGGGTCTGAACCAAGGAACAATTGATTCAATTTCGCTGGTGAACTGTAAAGCCAGGCCCCCTCCATCCGCCTGGCTTGGTTGTGGTTGTTTTGGGATGTCGGGA